TTTTCCTATCTAAACAACGAAGAGAAATATGCAAAAGTAATAATTTATTTCTAACAACCTCTGGTACCCCTAAGGCGGCTACACGAACAATAATCGCGAATTGGGTTAAAAAGATTTTACTGCAAGCAGGTATACAAGCAAGCCCTGGTAGCCTACGACCTGCTGTTGCTTCCAAGAGTTGGATACAAAATTGTAATCTCGAGGATATTTTGTCTAGGGGTAATTGGCGTTCAGAGAATACATTTAAGAAATTTTATTGTCGAGAAATTCGACCAACGGTGCAATCCAATTTACAAGGCGTTACTGATTGTTTTACTCCTATTCTATAGTGGTATATCCCACACGGTTTGAGGTTTAGTTTGTATCAGATTCATATTGGCTTTGTACAGTTTATTTCTTAGTTATAAATATAACTAAAGTGATTTTCATCTTAACTATTTCAATTGTCATGCCAACTAATGTGTAATGTGTGTAAATCATTTAAAAAGAAGCTTGAAATATGTAAAGTTGATAATAGATTACTACTGTATTGTTTTTATCCTATTGTGAAATTATATTGAACATAATCTTGGATTGTAAGTCAGAAATAAAATTACTTTATAGTGCTTAAGTGTGATTTATTATATAATTATTACTTCTAACTATATCATTTCACCAGAGAAATAAATCAAAGAGGAAAAATTTTTAAATGTTTGTTTTATTTTTAATACTAGCTTACTTTCGAATAAATCGATACCCCAAGGTATTATAGGTATTTATGATTAATTTTGTATATAGTAAATATATTTCACTTCATTATTTCTCCTTTAAGCAGTGCAAGCATCTGAAATATTAATTCACTAATGCACTGATGCCACAATCTCTTACGAATTTTCTGGGCCATCTATACCTATTTATAATGTTATTAAATTATTTCACTTCAGTTCTCCTCGTTAGCTCACATTGGCGTTTCTTATTTGATAGCACCAGGCGATAACAAACAGATCTCGAATATGTAGGCTTCGAATAACGGTACATAAGCTTAATAACAGCGTTTTACCTACCAATAAAACGCTTATTAAGCGAGTTACCTTATTCGAAGCCTACAGTAATAGTTCTGCCTGGACATCTGGGCGTTTCGGGTACTTTAAAGACATACAAAACTAACGATCCACTTTCATCCACATAAACACAAAACTTGTCAAGCACTTCAATACGCGAGTGTAAATAGGTATATATTACTAGCAAACCAGGCGAACTCCGTTTCGCCATCAGATGGCTTCGTTTTATATAACATTTCGTTTGGTGATTAAAAGAAGTTTTTTTTTTTTGAAATTTTTCCTGAATTTTCTTTGCTATAAACCTCACGGAGCCCGAGACCTTTCCAACGAATGCAAAACCTTGGAAATCGGTTCGTGCGTTCTGGAGTTATAGCGTCAGGAAGGAAAACCCGACTTATTTTTATATAGTAGATGATTACACTTTATTACCCTTATGATATTGAATGATGATTAAGTTCAGTTATCTAAAAGTACCCTCAAAAATAAGTTGCTCTCAATGAGCTAGACCGCTGCCATGCTGGCCCGGCTGCCTGGTGCGAGTAAAAAAGTGGGGACGCCAGAGGCGGGGGCGGATGTGACGTAGTACGTGACGTAAGTATCATGACCGAATTGACACGCTAAGAGGAAACGGAAATGCTACTCTCGAATATGTAGGCTTCGAATAAGGTAACTCGCTTAATAAGCGTTTTATTGGTAGGTAAAACGCTGTTATTAGTTGTTTTGGTAGTGTTTAAATATTCGTTCAAAGTGTAATTTAATCATATAGGATGAATGTATGATGGCCCATCGAAAAGGAGTAGAAGCGGTAGACAGAACTTTAAGAGATATAAGACAAAATGATCGACCCATGGGCGGTATCACAGTTTTATTTTGTGGTGATTTCCGACAAAACTTAACGGTAATACCACGGGGAACCCGAGCTGCTGAGGTTAGGGCTTGCCTGAAAAGCTCTTATTTGTGGCGTGATATACAATCGGTGCATTTGACTATAAACATGCGAGTGAGAACTGTAGATAACCCGGATGATCGTGAATTTTCTGATATATTATTAAAGAAAATACCTTCACCAAAGATACCTTACCGAAAACTTATTCTGACGCCTGAGTTATGTTGTATAGTGCAATCCCAACAACATCTTACATCGTCAGTTTACGGTGACGTAACAAATATATTAAATAAGAACAATTCTTGGCTATGCGAAAGGTCCATTTTAACTCCTCGCAATGACCAGGCATCTAAGATTAATAATAAAATACTGTCGAATATCCAGGGGGAAAGCAAAGTTTATAGTTCAATAAATAAAATGGCCGATGAACAAGAAGCCACTAATTACCCGATAGAATTTTTAAATTCTTTAAATATGCCCGTACTTCCTTCTCATGAAATTTGTTTAAAAATTGGCATTCCGATTATTCTGCTCCGAAATTTAAGACCACCACAAATTTGCAATGGAACTCGGCTTAAAGTAACCCAGTTGCAACAAAATGTAATCGAGGCTCAAATTTTAATAGGTTGCGGTGCAGGAGAAACCATCTTTATTCCCAGAATTCCCATAATACCAAATAATTTTCCATTCCAATTTAAAAGAACGCAATTCCCAGTATCGGTGTGTTATGCAATGACAATAAATAAGGCTCAAGGGCAGACCTTTCGTGTTGTTGGAGTAGATCTCGGTGTCAGTTGTATTTCACATGGTCAGTTATGTCGGTCTTTCCCGGGTTAGCAGTCCTAGAATTTTTTATGTTCACGTTCCGGACGGGTCAAATTTCAACGTAGTCTACCCGGAAGCTTTGCGCTGAAGTATTTTCATTCTATACGTACTTAAGACTCATGTGAAAGCGATCTAAACAATATTACCAATACATTAACATAATAACATACAAGGATAATATAATAATAACATATAATTCACGCTGATGGTCTCGGGGCACAGTGATAATAATAATCTGGGTTCCTTATTGCGATATTTTTAACAGTATTATATTTCCCTACTAAAATACGAAAGTAAATCTGTCTGTCACATCAAAACCACGGAACCCTGAGGAAGGACATATGCTACTTTTTTACGAAAAACGACGATAACGCGTACGAAGTCGCGGGCAAAAGCTAGTTATACCTATTTCTTTAAATTTATCCCTAAGAGAAGTTCGAGATCCCAAGCGGTAAATAGCTCTTATAGCTCGTTTTTGAAGAATAAAAACTGTTTCAATGTCTGCGGCCGTGCCCCATAATAGAATGCCATACGACATAATGCTGTGAAAGTAGCTGAAGTATATTGTGCTAGCAGTGTCGACATCTGTAAGCCGTCTTATTTTATAAATTGCATAAGCAGCAGAACTTAGTTTACCGGCTAGTGTTGAAATGTGAGGGTTCCATTGAAGTTTGTGGTCTAGTGTTACGCCTAAGAAAACGGTTGTATCGACTAAAATTAGTTTTTCACCATTTAGAATTATATCCCCCATTTCACATATATATCGAATGATCTGGCTTTTATCGAAGGAAAACCTTTTTGCCCTATTCTCACCATGTCGCAATAGATATTTATCTACGGATGATCAGTAGACATACATCGACTGGTAAAGAGCCTTCGATATATAAATACCTATGGATCTTGGCATGTCAATCTTGTTATTTCCACTTTTTTACCTATTATTTATTGTGTTGTCGTTCGTCTTTGCCAATTATTGTTACCTCAAGATGTTGTTAACTGCCTTCATAAATAATTCTGGCGTGATTCTCTAAACTTAAAACTAAATTTAACATCAGTCTCTCTTTTTCATTCTGTATAGAGAATGACAAGGAAACACTGTTGTCAAGTTTAAGTTTAGATTTAGAGAATCGTGCCAGAATCGACACCAGTTTATATTAACGATGGATCAGTTGATTCATGTTTTCGTCAATGATTTAATAAATGACGTGATTGCTGCTGCTGTGCTAAGGCGCCGCCGTCGTGAGAGCAAGAGGGCCCATTTGAAATGAGGGACGCCGACTTCATAAAAAAAATAAGTTTAAACAAAAATTTGGTTAGTAATCTTTAAAGTTATGAATGACATTTGTATCGATTCTAACACGAGTCTCTAAACTTAAAACTAAATTTAACTTCAGTCTCTTCTTTTCATTCTGTATGGAGAATGACAAGGATACACTGTTGTTAAATTTACGTTTAGGTTTAGAGAATCATGCCAGAATCGACACCATTTTCTTATTGACGATACGGAGTTTTGGCGGGATTTCTGCGAGTGCGGTTGGCATCTTATTTTAATTATTCTAAAATTCGTTCATAGTGGATATTGTGAAATGAAAATATACGCTATTCCGGTCAAGTGGACGCGAGAACTTTATTGTAGTGTTGACTACCTCACAGAAGCTTAGAGAAAAAGCCAACTCCATAAATTTCGTGCCAAACACTCCAAACATTAGAATGCGTCACACCGACATTTGAATGTAAAAAAAGAAGATTAATATAACTAAAAACTAGGCTTTATGGGCATTGTTCCCTTTGCCTTCCCTGAAAAGGGAGAATCTTAAATAATATTGACGTTTCATTATACATAACGTTGAAATTATATACGCATACAATTTAGGTAAAGTTGAGATTTCTTAAATTAAAAAAATGTATAGAAAAAATGTAAGAGAATTCATAAAATATCATTTTGTTGCTTGTAAAATTCTGCTCTAATTTATTATTATTTTATATAGACTATGATGTTAACTTAATCGAGAAAAACGGAACGCATTCGGCAGTGAAAGAATATCTACGATAGATATAATATCATTGGAATATCGAAAATCCACGAGAATAGCATTTTTTACCATCAGTAGATATTTTCAATAGATATCCCTCCTTTCGATATTATCTCGAAGCCGATATAATACCTATGCCGCGAGAATTGGGCCCCAGGTCTTCTTTTAGATTATACTATAATGATATTTACCATGAAAGTTTAAAACAATCCTTACCTTAATTTGCAGAGTATCATCGGACATGTACTTGAAGTCTATCCGGGCGACCTCGAAATCATCCGGATATCCGGACGGGCGTGCCTTTTCATAGTAAACGGTGACGGAATGCTTGTCCTCCGTCATGTTTAGAAAGCGGAACGAATCGTACTGCGGTGGGTAGAAGCAGTAAGGGATATTGCCGCCTTTCTGCTCCGGTAAACGCCAACAACATCCTGTTGATAGGATAAAGTATTTTGTTTATCGGTTCTTCTCAGTACAAGGTATCCCGGCGTAGATTTACGAACCGATGACGTAGCGTTTGACTTTCACAAGAGCTTGTAACAGCCTAGACTGAATAAATGAGTTTGAGTTTATGTATTAAGAGAGCATAGCGGCTTCTCAACTCGAATTGGAGCACCCATCCGGGGAAATAAACTTCATCTTACAGAAGACCACGGTAAAATAACACTACCTTTTGGGTGGTGTTGTGATTTTGTTGGTGAGTAAGGTTCCAGGGCACCACGGTGTAGGGGATTGGTTGGATCAGGCTAGGTAACAGCGTGAATGTATATTTTTTATATCGCAAGCGTCTATAGACTAAGTTGGTTAAAGGTATGGTTGAGCGAAGCGATGGCTGGTTCATGCGTCACGCTCGTGAACGGGTGCTGCCAGCGGATATGAGTTTGCTCTTGCTACACTAGGTACTATTAATCGTTGTGTTTTACTTTACTCGTAATTTTTTTTATGCCTAAACAGTAGGACACGGCATTGCTAAACTTTGTTAAATCAGCTTTTTTTTATATTTTAAAAATAAATTTTATATCATTTACATTGTAATGGAAAGTCATTTTTTGAGTTATCTCATATTGAAAGTCATTTTTCAATTTGACGATTCTGTATATAATACAGGGAGAAAGAACAGCCCTAGCTGAGTTTCTTGCCGGTTCTTCTCAATACAAAGTCTCCCGCCGTGGATTTGCGAACCGATGGAGTAGTATTTCAACATTCACAAGTGCTTGTAACAGCCTAGACTGAATAAACGATATTGAATTTTTAGTTTTTTAACCATTTTCCATTCATGAATTTTAATTCCTTGCAAAAATATATTTTAGAAGTGACATAGTAAATATTCTGGTGAAGCAACCTCAACTTTACAGAAGAACACAGGGTTCCACGATTATTCCTGCCTTGAGTTGAGGATGGCTGTAGCGGCATCTTTTCTGCCGCATCAGTTGTCTTCATAACGGGACTTAACTAACACTTAACATCATGTTACGGTAATTTGCTACACTCTGTATGTCATATCTGTATATATGTTTTCGGTTTTTGGGTTTATGCAGTCCTAATGGAACTGTAGTCACAGCGGTCTAAAAGATCTACTGTGACTCTCCACCAAAGTATCTCTTTTAGCCCGACAGCTTCTAAGAAGCTCAGAATGTATCTAGCTTTAAGAGATTTCGTTTCCTCTGGGCGTATTATATGGCGTCCCAGATGAATACTACGTTTGTAGATGAGAGACCTACATTCACATAGAAGGTGTTTTGGTGTTTCACGCTCCTGATTGTAGTATCTGCAGACATCAGTGTCACTTAATTTCATAACATTCATTTTATGCAGTTTGTTTAAAAGAAATATAAATTTCCATCGGTTCTAATAGGGTATCTGACAGTTTAAAAATAAAGTGTCACTATTTTTACAGAAAAAATATTCATAATTTTACTAAAAACACACGATAAAGATAATGGTTTTCTTGTCTATTGTCACGTGACTCAAAACGCTTGGGATTGGTGGTGCCTAAAATCACGTCACACGCAAGTAAACTTCCGGTTAAAGTGACATTTGATTGTATGGTTTTACGTTTTAATGACAGTCATGTGACGTCATACACCAGTGAGACGCCATATTGTCCAGAGATACGATTTTCGCGGCAATTTGAAAAGATAGTTTTTGATTTGGTTTTTGTACCGAAATACGCACATAATGATGGATATCCACTTTTTATGGACTCTAAACATTAGTAAATAACGTGAGATCGTTTTCTAAAACTTGTCAAATACCCTATTCTCACTAGTCATGAGAGGGAGAAAAGTGGTAACACCGTTATCACAACCGTGAAACGAAAAAAATATTATATTTATAATAAAACCTTACCTCGTTTAATGCAATCGTTTTCATTGGCGTTGGCTTGTGGGAAACAATCAAAACGCATGTTGTCTTCAACCTTCGCACAGATATCTTTGAGCACCTCTGGAGGGCGATCAATGAAACTCTTCTTGTTCAAATTTGCGTTTTTCCTTGTGAACTCGGTGCCGTTGCTTTTGTTCTTAGTACTGAGGTTGTTGTGGTCGTGGTACCGGTATTCTGGTAATATCTGTAGAAATAACACATTAAAAGGTTTATTACATAAAATTGATAATATTTTTTTAAAACATAAATCTATGAGTTAATACGATAAAGAGACTCAGTCTTACTATGAATTTAATTTTGGACTGGACGCCATATTGTGATGTCATAGCTGTCAATTCAAACCAAATAGGTAGAGTGAGCAAAAAAATGTTTTTATTTAATAAAACTTATTTACTAAAATTAAGTGAGAAAAAGCATCAGATTTTTTTAATAACATTTATTTACTAAGATTGCGAATACAAAAATCACCGATTTTTAATAATATTTATTTATTAAGACTGTGAGAAAAACAAATTAATCAGAATTTAGCTCTTCTATTCCGCTCATCTCTGCATTACCGCCGGAGTAGTTATGAATAATCATGCACTATTACTAGGTCACATACAAACATGCATCCTTTATGTAAACGAAAATTTGAAATCGAGTTTCTAAACGCAACTTAAAGTGACATTTGGTTGACGATTTAGATTATCAACTATTCATGGCCAAAGCTCAACAAGTGAAAAAAAAATATTAACTGATATTAATTATCAATATTTGTTTTCAAATGTTTGGTTTTTATTCTTGAATTAGCGGAATGCTAAAAAAGGGTTCCCATTTTTTTTTGCAAACCGTATTTTTCAAGCGACATTTGATAGATAGAGGTCATTGGCTTACCTATTCTTATTTAAATCACATTATAGATATTTAAATCTAAAGAAAATATTACTAGAAAATGTTAGTGTCACTCGGTCCAGGTTTCAGACGGGATTCGAACTCGCATCTACCGTTATCCGGGCGGAAGCGCTAACCAATTATACCTACCGGGACCTTATGGGCGTGTCGAATTTCATCTAGTATTTCTCAGTGAATCCCGCTCGTCACCCCCAGCTTTGTCACATATACAGTGAGGAGTGAGAATAAAAAAAAACATAATACACCCCGAGTGAGAGTGATGAAAGAGATGAATACATCATAAATATCGGATATTTTGATAGTTTATTACAAATATCATATTTTAGATATGGTGCATATGCACATTAATTTTAGAAGCGATTGATTATGCAACAATACCTTCTCATAAGTCATTGGAGTCGGAGGTTTCTTTGTGTTGTCAGGGTGTGCCCGTTCCCATAATTTCCTATAAAATAACAAAACAGAAAACTGATGTATTGAGTTAAGGGTTGAGTTAATACAGGATGGACGAACTAGTGACGTCAACAATTTTTTTTTAAGATTCCTCGCACCTGGGGTTATCTGAAAAAACCCATATATGTTCCACGATTTTTCTTAGTTTTCAAGTTATAATTTTTTTTTAATGATTTCTGCTATCTCTGATGTTCAAGTAAACATTTAAAGCTTATTATGGTAGTAATTGTCCTGACTTGGCCAGTTCACTTCAGGGATGGTTGATCTATCATAATATTTTTTTTTAAAGTTTAATTCAGATTTCTGCCAGCTAGGTTTCAAAAATTCTTATCTTTTTTCGTAGTAGGTATTTTGCAGTCTTTTTTTTGTGACATAATAGTCTTGAATGTTGTTTTATTAAAAAATAACTCAGCTTCCTGCAATTACTTAAAGTTACTCAAAAAAGGCTTGAAAGTTGGAACTTTAGTTTTTAGTAGGATTTACTCAAAAATTCAATTTCAATTTAGAAGTACAAAAAGGAGTTTCCATAGGTTCTCGCTAAAATTAAAAACTCCGCATGCTTCTAAACTACCAAAAATCATAAAAAAATGTAATTTTACAATAATTTCGGTTTCACCACTAATGCGAACAAGAATTGAGACAAAAACTTACAGAAGCGGAAAGAAAAATAAAGCAAGAATATTCAAGTAGCTTCAGACAATTAAAAAATAACTTTTTAAGACATTGTCAATTGTGTATTCAAGTTGGAGGAAGGAGTTTTGAAAATTTACTGTAATAAATAGTAATTTTTCAGTAATTTGTGGTTTTTATTTGTATCAAAAAACAGCTAATTTCCCAACTAGCCATTTTGATCTTTATTCTTGCTCACATTTAAAAATCTTAGTAGTGTAACCGAAATTATTATAAAATTCAACATTCTAAAGTTATTTTACAGAAATTTCAATTAAATTTAATTTGAAATTACATTTTTAGGTTTAATTTACCATAGCAATGAAAATAGCCTATCAGCCTTCAAAAGCCAATTACAACAAAAATAGGCTGATTAAGTACATTTTTTTATGATTTTTTGGTAGTTTAGAAGCATGCGGAGTTTTTAATTTTAGCCAGAAGCTATGGAAACTAATTTTTGTGTTTTTGTAAAGAAAGTTGAACACGTTTGAGTAAATCCTACTAAAAACTAAAGATCCAACTTTCAAGCCTTTTTTGAGTAACTTTAAGTAATTGCAGGAAGTTGAGTTATTTTTTCATTAAAACAACATTCAAGACAATTATGTCACAAAAAAAAAGACTGCAAAATACCTACTACGAAAAAAGATAAGAATTTTTGAAAGCTCGCTGGCAGAAATCATTAAAAATACACAAAAAAATTATAACTCGAAAAATAAGAAAAATCGTGGAACATACATGGGGTATTTTCGGATACCCCCAGGTGGAAGGAATCTAAAAAAAAATTGTTGGCGTCACTAGTTGGACCATTCTGTATATGATGTGAGTAACATGGATCCTTAATAAAAAATAGGAATGTTAGTGTGCATTTACCACTCTTTTTATAACATGAAATGTATGAAATATTTAGTTATATTCTAATGAGACAAAACATACAAAAATTATAGTGTTTTCCTTACCAACCAGTCCATATCATTTGTATTTAAGACTCTTATCAAACCAATTAATGCAATATAATTATCATAAGAAAATATTTATATGATGCTATCAAGACAATTATAATAAATCATTACTCATTCGCCGCGTCGCTGCCGGCGTCATTTGCTGATTTGTGGCAAAAACACTTTATTAAAAAAATATGTGGTTTTATAAAACCACGATGCAAGAGAAACTTTAAAAATCACTAATAAAAAAGTCCTTCCTATGCTGGGATTCGAACCCGGGCCGCACGCGCATCAAAGTATCTTTCTACCACCGAGCTACTGATTTCCACAAATAAATTTGTGGAGATGTAATAAAAGTTTTGCTTTAAAAAGTTATATATATTTAAACCTATAATGTTCTTCGCCCCAAGCGCCGCCTAGGGCTCCGCTGGCGGCCCACCACGCGCCCACGCATAGCGCGCACACTAGCGCCACACCCAACATACCCGGCCCAGCACTCGCGATCAATTCCCAAGAACGCTGCAACCAGTTACGCTGTTCAGAAAAACGCTGGTATCTGAAAATAAAAAAAAATGAGAAAATCCACACAATAATTTCTATAGGAATAGGTAGTGTTGGCCAAAAATATGATCTACTCTTCTCAAGCACTACAGTTGAAAATCATTTGTTTCATGTAAAATAACTAGGTTGATCCTTTGCAATAACATTTTGCTATGTTAATTTTTTTGTTACATAAACATTGCTAACTTTGAATTATCTCAAACAATTAAACTTCAACTTTAAAATTATTTTGGTAACACAGAAGGTTATTACAAAGCACAAGATAAAAAGTAAAATCTAAAATTTATTAATATAATATTATAACTGTTTAACCAACCGTATACATGTATAATTGCATTATAGCAATCTTCTATGCAGGGAAGTGTGGTAAAAAAGTAATTATTGATTGGCCAAAACGGAAACTGAAATTACTGTTAAATACAGATACTATGCTTCTTTGTGTCATAAAAATAGACACCAAATAATTGTTTAAATATCAAAATATTACTCAATGTTTTCCTTTTACTTATTGGTCAAAGTACAAAAACAGTAAAACAAATAGTGTTGTTTTGATTAAAAATTAGTCATTTACAAAACATAAGGAAAAAGGCTATAAAAATTAATTACAGATTGAAGACATGCAATACTTGCATGATATGTTATGCACTCCACATCATAAAATACTTATATATTGAATGCTTATTAAAATCATTTATCTAGAGTGGTTCTTAACCTTTTATAGTGACGAGTGACCATTTGTCAAAATTTCTGTCATGGCATGGACCACCCCAAGAATTACTAAATCAATCAGTGTCCTTACTTATGAAATATGTTTTTGGATGGCTGTGTGATTTATTTATTAGCTGTAGATATTTTGGGTGCTTCCAGGGACCACCAGTTAAAAACTACTGATCTAGATACATTGATGAAAAAATTAAATTTTTTTTTTTTTTCAAATAGGTACATAGTTTGTTAAAGGCACAGTTGACATATGTGAAGAAACCTCAGCAATCTCAGCATAATAAACAATTGACTGATTTTTATTATGTTCAAGTAAACATTTAAAGCTTATTATGGTAGTAATTGTCCTGACTTGGCCAGTTCACTTCAGGGATGGTTGATCTGTCATAATATTTTTTTTTTAAAGTTTAAGATTTTTTTTTACGTAATATAGTTTAACTTTAAAGTAATAAAGCTTAGAAATATAAACAGTAATGTTTCTTCAAAACAGTATTGTCCAACTAGACATTGGATGATGAACTTTGCAAGTCATTTATGAAAACCAAAATAGAAATAAAGGCTTTTGGACAAATCTTCATTTGATACAATTACAACATAAGGTTGTACTAGTGGATACTTTACCACTACATACACAACGATTGATGGCATGACAGTTGTGACACAATTAATACTGGAACAAACATCAACGAACCTCTGATACTAAAATTCTATTCAAAGATTTTTCCCATTAGAATATAAGAGTAAATTGTAATTTTTAACAAGAATAAACCATTACTTTATCATACACAAAGCTCTGGATACAATGTGTAAGCAAGTCAAATATATTTATCATTGTTATTGATAACTTATAACCTGCAATTATTCTTGTCCTGAAATTTGATGACGGAAAAAACAAAGTAGACAGATTTTTGCAGACAAATATGCCTAAAGGTAATATAGATTCGTAAAGATTCAAAAACATACGTACCGATGTTCTCTAGAACTAGACTCTCCTTCGTTCCTTGCCTTTGGTATAACTGCACTGAAAAGCGGGGCTTTTCCAGATTTGGCATTTGATCTACCAAACGGAGCAAATGAATTGGACAGTTTCCTTTTAAAGGTGACATTCTTGGAGTCATTAAGCGAGGTTTCTGTATGATTTTCAGCATCTACATTTGATGGTTCGCCGTATTTATCAGCGAAATTTGGAGATTTATCACTCTCGTAACAAAGACGGTAGTTTATATTATCATTCAATGTTAACAAATCAGTTTTTGAACCCGGACTTTTGTCACAGAAATCTTCAAAGGAAACAATTTCATAATCTTCGTCTTCTTCCTGAGACTTTTCTGCTTTGTAAGGTATTTTCGGCATTTTTCACTTGTCTTTGCTAATTATTTTGGACACACATTATTAAAATTGCTTTGCATTAGGTACCAGCTTACAAATACGACTCTAAAAACGTTTTAATCAGGTAAACAAATCTCATTGAAAACTCTAGTCAGAACCTAATTTTATTTTTGAAATGCTAACAACAAACAAATCAACAAAACAATCACTCACACACACACGCAAAGTGGGAAACGCATAGAGTAGCTACCTAACTTTTTTATCTTTGTTTGTTGAAGTTCTGCCGTTTTAGGAAGGCAAAGGGAACAATGCCCATACAGCCTGGTCTTTAATTAAATTAATCTTCTTTTTGTTTTTACATTAGAATGTCGGTGTGATGCATTCTAATGTTTCTTGGAGTGTTTGGCACGAAATGTATCGAGTTGGCTTTTTCGATAAGCTTCTGTGAGGTAGTCAACACTACAATAAAATTCTCAAGTCCACTTGACCGGAATAGCGTATATTTTAATGATTCCACTAATTCTTCAGTTGCGCAGACAGTTGTTACACAAAACCACACTAATTTTATTTCACAATATCCACTATGAACGAATTTGAGAATAATTAAAATAAGACGCCAACCGCACTCGATGAAATCCCGCCAAAAACTCCTTTTTTATCTTTTCATAATTCAATCATTACGTACCGACCGAGAGACAATTAAATGTAAGAATAGCATGGACCTACTATATATATGATGAATAGTAATGGCATGAGCAGCGTGCCGGCAATGCTGCGGGACTTCGGTTGCATCGACCCACACAGCGACTCTTAGTTAGCGACGAAATTCAGTGCCGCGTGCGAGCGACTGGTGACAAGCGACCACCGACCGCATCGGTGTAAGTTTAATAGTTAATCCTGTAAATACTATTTTCATTCTTGGTTATTTACCTACCTATCACCGAAATGGATAATACATCAATAGAACTTGTACTGTTCTCATTCCATAAATTCGAAACATAATATCTATCATGATATTTTTATGTTTTTGGCGGCGGTTACCTACTGCTGCTATTTATTATTGATAAAACTAATATTTTTGCCGTAATAACACTGCGCTACGCAGTCGCAAGCGACCTGAGGAGACTGGCCGCTGCAAGTCCTACGACCACCGGTTGCTAGTCGCTGGTACGCTGCATTGAGCCATTTAGATATACATGTATATACATATATCAAGTCGCTGCGAGTCGATTTTCTACAGCGACGAAACATATCTTATTTGAAAGCTTGTTTTATATTGTTACATGAACAGACACTTTAATTTTTTTATTTATCTCCGATCAATTTAAATCGTGTTTAAAAATTTAATAATGTTGTAAGGATGCTGCCCATCCTGTCATAATTAACGTCATATTTTTAATGTGTACCCAAATGTGGCAAAAGCTAACAACGACTTCTCAATCACTATGGTAAATGTCAAAAAGCCCAGTTAGTTATGCATGATGGTAGCTTTCCAATTACAGCATTATAGCGCATTATGCGGCATAATGCTTAACGTTAAGTGTTCCAACTACAGCAACGCTTCGCACAATTGAGCACTCTCAAAAGTAATGCTTTCGTGTGATGCGTGCAATCGTACCAACTCAGAGACAGAAAATTAACAAGTGTTTTTTGAAGTTATACTTCTTTAGGCGCGTTATGAAAAAATGATGAGAGTGAAATTTTAAGATGCGCGCGCATCACTGTAACACAAAAAATTAACAGCATGAAGTTGGTCGCTTTAGCGACCAACTTCATGCTGTTACTTTTGTGTTTACCGCTCATTAAGAAAATCTACCAACAAAATAGAAATAGAATCTCTATTTTGTGGGTGCTAACGACTGCATTGTGAAGGCCTATTAAAAGTATTTATTAATCTGGAACAACGGAACCAAAGCGCGATTCAGGAGACTACAGCGCCATCTCTTGACCATTGGTGTAGTAGAACCAAAAGCCACATCTTTATTTTTTGTAATAAAGTAACAAAAAGTATTTATTAATCTGGAACAACGGAACCAAAGCGCGATTCAGGAGACTACAGCGCCATCTCTTGACCATTGGTGTAGTAGAACCAAAAACCACATCTTTATTTTTTGTAATAAAGTAACAGTTATAGGTATTCATATTTATAATATTTATCCACATGTTTCTAGTTTGTATATTCGGAATACGTGTTTGAGTTTCATACAAGTGCAAATCACATATGTTCTAATAAATTATATTAAGTAGCGATTTTAATTGAATATTTTGATTATTTATTTATTTTTTCAAATTAAAACTGAACTTTATTGACTGTGTCCTTTTCCAGACTTTTTATTAATTTATTGTAATTAATTATTTGCATGCAATTAAAAACTAATTTTAAACGATGCCAAAGAAGGATAACTTCTCACGCGCCTACATAAGTACACGGACCAATTTTTCTTTAAGTTGGCATTGATCGAAATGTTTTATTTACAGTTTGTCTATAAAGTCGTGACATTAAATGATGGCGTCACTAGTATGCATGTAGCAACCCTATATAGTCGGACCAAAATGATTTTGATACTAGCAGTTCATTCAAGTAAAATAGGTAATTAATAAGACACACTAAACAGTCGTATTTTGTTTCTGTTTTTGAAGTTATACTTCTTTAGGCGCGTTATGAAAAAATGATGAGAGTGAAATTTTAAGATGCGCGCGCATCACTGTAACACAAAATTTTAACAGCATGAAGTTGGTCGCTTTAGCGACCAACTTCATGCGTTACTTTTGTGTTTACCGCACATTAAGAAAATCTACCAACAAAATAGATATAGAATCTCTATTTAGTGGGTGCTAACGACTGCATTGTGAAGGCCTATCAAAAGTATTTATTAATCTGGAACAACGGAACCAAAGCGCGATTCAGGAGACTACAACGCCATCTCTTGACCATTGGTGTAGTAGAACCAAAAATCACATCTTTATTTTTTGTAATAAAGTAACAGTTATAAGTATTCATATTTATAATATCAAAAGTATTTATTAATCTGGAACAACGGAACCAAAGCGCGATTCAGGAGACTACAGCGCCATCTCTTGACCATTGGTGTAGTAGAACCAAGAACCACATCTTTATTTTTTGTAATAAAGTAACAGTTATAGGTATTCATATTTATAATATTTATCCACATGTTTCTAGTTTGTATATTCGGAATACGTATGTTCTAATAAATTATATTCAGTAGCGATTTTAATTGAATATTTTGATTATTTATTTATTTTTTCAAATTAAAACTGAACTTTATTGACTGTGTCCTTTTCCAGACTTTTTATTAATTTATTGTAATTAATTATTTGCATGCAATTAAAAACTAATTTTAAACGATGCCAAAGAAGGATAACTTCTCACGCGCCTACATAAGTACACGCACCCATTTTTATATATAGTAGGTACATATATAAAAAGTTTAGCCAAGCATATTTAATTGAATCAGAATAAAATTATTATAGATAAATTAGTACTTTATAGTGTAAAAGTGAGTAATGTTGGTGATAACAGCTAAGGTGCCATTGAGACTAGAGCCGTTAGGTGATCAACAATACACACAAGTATCATCATACGACGTTTTTTAACACACTTGTTAAGAAAATAATACTAAAAATCATTTTATAGTATATAAAAAGTTTATTTAGAGAAACAATTAGTAAATGTACAGTTAGTAAAATTAGTGATAGGTATCTTCACTAAAAGCATCTGGCCATGGTTCTTTGTGTGACCATTTCTTTCTTTGGTCGGCCTTGCCTGTTTTCCCAAGAGTTTCAAACTTTCCATCTTAAAACCTTCGTTGACTATCCGACTCTCTGATTTTCCTGAAAAAAAGTAAAAAAATATGTAACGGAATAGAAACAATAACTTATTGACATGAAGCAATTAATTCAAAATTGGTGGAAAACCTGACCGAGTTGAACCATAATAACGTATCAAAAGAAATGGTCGTACTACAATATTACCTATCTACAATGTCAATCTAACCTAAAAATGTGCAATGTAAACAATGCCTTTTTCGGTCTCAAAATCGTAAATTGAGCAAATTTGTAACTTCAGGCAGATTACAAACAAATAGTTACACGATTACATACCCGTCATAGATGCTGTTCGCCTATAAACATCGTCCAAATCCCACAAAATTCGTCCAGCTTGGTAGTCTTCGAAACATCGCAGGAAAACTTTAAAAATCACTTCCCGCGTGCCACTCCGATTTATTTTACTCATTTTTATACCTTTCTGCGTAGTTTCGTCTTAATTTATTACAGTTTAATCCAAACAATAAAAAAGACAAAAGAAAAACTGTTCCACAACTGAAACTCGATGACAGCTGATGTACATAAGTTTGGTGTTGCCAGACACATGAATAATGTTAGTTCCTCAAACATTAATGTCACGACTTTATAGACAAACTGTTTATGTTGTTGTTAGTAATATTATTTATTGTTGAAAAATTATTAAAACTTTCGTTTCATCATAGTTTTTTTTAAATAATCAAAGTTAATTCAAACTGTGTTAAAAATTAAATATAAATATGGATGAAGGTACAAACATTGACTTTTTTTTCAATACTGAACTTAGCGCACTCTGCTGGTGCATTTGAAAACTAATTCACGTTCCAATTAAGCGTCAGCATAATTCGGCATTGTGCGCCACTGTGTCGCATTATGCTCCGTAATTGGAAAACCACCGTTGTGAAATCGTGTTGAACTTAATGTAACAATTCATGATTAATTCTTCTTGAAATAAAATAACCAGAAAATACCTCATAGTGTAATGAAATATAGACAGAATAATTATCACTGCTTTAGTTACCTATTGAATAGAATATATTTGATGATTTTGCAACAAGAAACAGATTAATAAACTTGCCATTAGCCAATAAATAATTTATAATTTTATATTATAAAAAAAACGGGGATAACATAAATTCTGGTTATTTTTCGATTTATAATTAAGTGCCCTTAGTGTGTCAGAAAAAAAATAAGTCTGCCGAAGACAGATACCACCCTCTACATAAATTTGAACCATTTCCTTTTAAAAATATTTCGTACCAATAATAAAAAATATTGATTCACAATATTTTAAATTTTTTTACACCAAATGGCGAGCAAACTTAAATGACACTGACCAGTTATACTGATTGCAAGATCCGGGTGCCAACAAATAATATTGAAGCACGTCAGGATCACACCTGTAATTCAATAAATATGTTACAGCATGAAAGAAAAATATTAACGGATAAGCTATATAATCCGGCATTGTTCTCTAAACTTAAAACTAAATTTAACACCAGTCGCTCCTTTTCATTATTTATAGAGAATGACAAGGATACACTATTGTCAATTTAAAGTTTGGGTTTAGAGAATCACACCAGAATCGACACCAGTATCCAGCCCCCTAGCATGAGCACCGTGATATGATATATAACTCGTTTTTATCACGCTCTATTGTCAAATTAATACGGATAAAAAACGTATTATAACATAAACTTAGGTGCTCACGCTACAAGAACTGGTATCCTTTGCTTTGTAACAACAAGATAAAGATTTACATTGTCTATGGTAAAAAAGTAAATGTCTTTGTTATATGAGGGTAGTACGAAAATTTCCTTAGTAGGGTAATTAACCTTCATAAAATAGATGCGTGGGCAACATGGTGGACTAAAACGTAACAGTGGCAATAATTTATTAATTTGTGGCAAAAAAGAGTTAATTTTACTAGTAAACATGGATTGGAAAAGTGCGAAGATCTTGCTAGCATCAACAGCTACGGCGGTAGTAGCTTCTCAAGTAGCTAAAAAAATATATAAGTATTTTTTCTCAAATAACTCTCAATCTGAGGTCAATTACAATAAAGATACGTGTGACCCATTAACAATTAAGAATCGTGAAATTAATGATGTGATATTGTTTTCGGATGATATCGTACGACACACGATAAGAGTTTCTCCAAGTAAAGATATTACTTTATGTGAAAGCAGAGAGTTGAATTGCTTCAAATTAATAAAGTACATCAAATCAGCACGTGAAACCTTAGACGTATGCATGTATCTAATAACTAGCAACGAAATAGCGGAGCACATAATAAGATTGGGGCAAAAACATGTTCTAGTGAGGATAGTCGTTGATAGCGACATGGCATTCACCCCTCAGTCACAAATTAATAGATTAAAGGAATACAGTAAGTAATAAATTAAGTGTGGCTTTTTTATACTTAAAGTACAGAATTAACCTTAATACAATTTAATTCTATAGGTTTCATCCAAGTGCAAACAAACAAAAAATCAATACTCATGCACCACAAATTCTGCATCATTGATGGTCCCAGGGCAATGAAGCGTAAAAGCATTTTGAAATCACATGCTGAAAAACTCAATGTTCATGCACAATACATGAATAATGGTGGCAAACAACACTGCAAAACCAAACACGTGAAGCCTTTTGTCATGTCTGGTTCATTAAATTGGTCCACTCAGGCAATGGTCTCAAACCACGAAAGCGTTATTGTTACATCACATCCTAACATCGTCAACAAGTTTGAGAAGGAGTTTGAGAGTCTTTGGGTGGAGAATGAGCCGGTAAGTTAGAAAATTATTTGTTTGGTTAATTACTCTATTTTTGTTACAAATATATTGTCATGAACTTTTTTGTATCAAAAACACATCTGCTCGACTTCAATATGTACTAAAAATTAACTGCAAAAATTACTAGTTGATCATAATGCACGAGCCAAGTGAGTGAAGCAAGCATGTCGAGTAAACGGAAACACACGTAAAAAACCATTGAATGGCGAACCTCTTGCTTTTTAAGTCCGTTAAAAAAGAAGTCAGTCATCAGTCATTATATTTAAGCAACTTAGAAGCGTGCGAAAATTTTATTCAAACGAACTGTAAACGTCCAAAAGCTATTTGACTTTGTATTCCTGCAGCGTGCAAGGGTCAAGTTATATCACTAATTCAGGTCCACGATACTTATGACAGAATCACATTTATCTGTTGTGTTGTTTTGTTGTGACGCATCCGAGAGCTCTGAGATCTCACACATTTAGTACGGTTAGAGCGTGAACGGTGTCGACACATCGCAATACATCGCTTCACATCGTGACACACAAGTGTAGTTTTAACCGTACTAAATGTATGAAACTAATCAAAACACAACACTTAAGATATATGAATATTATTCTGCCTCTACTCCGGCCAGTACTCCACATTTTTTCTATGCTGTAGACTGTTTGGTACAGTCTACAGCCAGAATGTGGAGGTGATATTGTAGGGCGTGACCTGGACGCTAGTTACAACTAATGTTCTATGATGCCATGATAATAATTGTTTTTAATTTTCGTTAATAATATTTAAAGAGTTGTAATTCAATGATATTCTTTGATGATGATGATGACGAGACTATCTGATTAAATATATTTCTTATAAACTTTTGTTTACAGGCCTTGATGTCAACTTCGTAGCGTTATTTTAATCGGTCCTTTAAATGAAACACCAGATAACAGGATGCGGTGAGTTTCTTACTGATATATTGTTGTCTAAACAGGTACCTATGAATACACGTTGGCGGAGTAGTTTGCCCGTTAGTGGTAGGTGTTGACAGCATAATTCGGCATTGTGCGCCACTGAGTCGCATTATGCTCTGTAATTGGAAAACAACCGATATTATCGAGTCCCTTGGTTTAATTTATCATTTCTCTAGATACCGTAGACAAAAACTCTGTGATGTTATTATCTGTGTTTCAATACCGTCGTGATGACAGTCAAAGGTAACCATAGACAAGTCCATGTGCAAGCAATGTTCGATCGATCATATGTTTTCTTTGTGTAGTTTTTTCGGCCGCTGTTATTCGAATTGGTTAGGAAGTTCACGTGTAATTATTCCATATTTTCTCTTCATAAAAAGAAATCTATCATATAGGTAAAACTTTCATTCTAATGTAAAAGTTCGACTGATATTCGTGAAGTGCATACAGTCGTATTATAAGTGCACGTGTTTGCAATTTTCAGGCTAATAATTTCAATGTTGCACTAATTCAATAGCCTGTTAAGTGATTCCTGTAATATATAAACATTATAAGGTTTATTCTTTATTTGAATTAGTAGTTAAATTCTATAGAAAACGTGTTGTTTTAAGTTAAGAATAAGGTTCAAGTGGATCTCATCACTAGAACAGGTTAGCACGATGGATTTTCTCCCATGGATTATTGCCTCGTGGGATAAAGTGTTAGTGGTATGTATTTATAATAACCAAGTTTATTTATACCATTTATAGATATAATGAAGCCATCAAGGCAAACACATTGCAGGTTACAACTTCATGTAAGTTTTCTACTTGCATCTTTCTATTGCATTATGATGTTCTAAGAAAAATGATTACTGGTTATTTTAAGTAGAAAGAGTTATTAAATATTCATCCATCATTAAATAATATCTTTCAGCAAGATTGGTCATTAAATAGTAGAAATCTTCTACCTAACACTGCGGTAACATGTGGTTTCCACTTCTCCCTCACTGCAAACCTTTCTATAAATCTTACCACTTTTTCTGTTGTTTATAAGATTAACTTTATTCTTTCCTTGAAGTAATGAGTTCTGTTACTTTGATTCAATTTCTGTATTAACTTGGTTACATTTTTACTTATGAAAAGAAATTTTTGATACAGTATATTTTTTTATTTTTGATTTTGAATTACTATTAAATGTCCGATATTTCTATAAATTCAGTTATTATCAGAGGCATATACATTTCTGCTGTAGATTTTTATTAAAGTCCAGAGACTGGCTGCTCATAGAAATTATGCTTACAATATTTTTTTTGTTTCAGATAAGTGCACCAATGAGGCTGAATAGAAAGTGCAATAATGTGTTTTGTGCCACAGATTTAGTGAAACAATTTGGCATAAAAAGTGATTTTTTGAAAAGAAAAACGTGATAAAAATATTGTGCTGTTGACAAATAAGTTATACAAAAAAGTTAATTATGGATGCAGTGCTTTTCGCTAGATGGCGCTGTTGGAATTGTGGCTGAGCAAGTGAGAAACTAGTGCCGCTTCTCCCCGCTAGGTGGCGCAGTAAGTTTGCTTTTTATAATTTTTAGTAAGTCAGAGACATCTAGTGGGGAGTAGGAATAGCATTAAATCGCAGAATTCCACTAGATGTCGTTAGGTGTAAAATATTTTTAAACATCACTTGCGTTACCTTTTTATAATTTTGAAAAAATAAGCCTTTTTACACTATCAAATATTTTTTGCTACATTCAATTAATCACTACTTCGGATAGTGGTTTTTGACGATTTTCTTGAAGCTGCAAATAATAATTATCACTTAGCGTTATTGCACAACATTTTAAAATACTGTATTTCAATGTGTTACACAACAAGATCTAACATAAAGAAATTTAAACGATGACAATGGGTTATTTTCACGAAAATATATAGGTATACGTTGAATTACAAAATCTAACATAATACCTAGCTTTAAATCACATCTGGTTTTACTATGAAGTTTTAGACTAATTGATATTAACCCTGTATAAATTGGATCTTCCAACTAAACTATTAAGTGCAAGTGTTACGAGGTTTTTATATAACTAGTTAGGCAAATGACTACCCCACCTGATGTTAAGTGGTAAAGTCCAGACACGAAGATAGATGGTGCAGCAGTCATAAACTGCCACACCAACCATCCTCACCCTGCCGGCCTGCAGAAATGCTTCTTCTGGTATCTGATTCATTAACTTATGCAAGCAAAATGCTTTTGATTTACGTTAATTAGACTGTTCTATTGACTTCAGATATACCTTCTTTGTATATTGATATTGTATGTAAGTAACTGTTTTTAGTTAGGATTAGGACTAATGCTTAGATGCAATGTCGCTTACAAGTAGGGATATGAACTTTTTTTCTACCAAATATTTGTTAAGTTAAATTATATAAGTTTCGAAGCTGTTACTTTAAGCTCTAAAGATATAGTAGATGGCAAAAAGATGGAAAGAAATATAGTATGTGGTTAAAATATCCACGTACTTTTGTTTTTAAAATGAATATATTTTTGCTGTTCCATGCCTTAATAATATTTTTTTTTATTTAATATCTAAGAACGCCTTTACTGTAAAAAATCTGCTTTAAGCAAAATATAGTAGTTTCGTCTACTATATATATTTTCTAGAAATATAGTATTTGATCTTCTAATATAGTAGGATACTACATATATTATATAGTAGGCATCTTCTAAGCAGGCGTGTACCATCCTAGGCCTCATCATCTCTTTCCATCAGGCGAGATTGTGGTCAAACGCCTTGCCGCACAAAAAAAGGCTTGACAACCCTACTTACAAGGTCAATAGTATTCAACGAGGTATTTTATTCTAGTTCGCATGTTTCGGGAAACTTATTAGAATGCGGCGCCGTCGCTTCTTGTAAGCGTTATCGGACGCCGCGACGCGCAGGCATGTCTTTCGTTCGACTCTGTGATGAATGAATTCTTGTAAGTAGTGGACGATGCGTAGTTAAGTGACATATAAGTACGACGACCTTATCTGATCATAATTATTGCTTATTAGATATCTTTTCTCCTTCATAGGCAGGCAGGCTACAAGGGATTTTTTAAATTTCTTGCTTTCAAATCGCTGTAAGCTTATAAAACCCAATATAGTATATAATATATACATATTACATATTATGTAGGTAACAACTTTTCTTACGTTGTATTTATTTTCTTTTATTTTCAAAATTTATGTATATTTTCGATAGCAAGATGTAAGTTATATCTTAGAATGGCCAATAATCATCATAATACGCAGCTCCGAAAACATACAACTCTTACTGAACATCAAACAACAAAAACAACATTATTCAGTTCAGTAAATCCTCATAAAGTCTTTTAAATATGAAACCATTACTAAGGAATTGTACTTTCATAGAAAAATATGGATTCATACATTTCGAATTAATAATTACAGTCAGGCTCACAGCCCAGAGAACGCTATAACATCTCTTAGAAAATTCTTAAAAAAATACGTTTGATGCTGTCCAATATTTTGGAAATGGACATTCTGTACTGAACTTACTACTTCATATATTAATTAATTAACGTTTTAAGATTTCTACACTCCACAAATATTTATGAAGTCTTCATTAGTTTAATTATCGAATATTCTTGTTAGTCGTTAGCTAACAATATGCATACATTATAATGTTCAAAAGTATACATTTCATAGTGAATGAGCAACGAGCAATTATCACGATAGAGTTCAAAATAATCCACGTTACCACTTCCTGTGGGTATAACTTTAATGGGATTACTGAATTAAGTAGTATAGTGTAATCGTCTTATAAGAATAACTAACAAGATCAGAGATCATATGATTTCGTAATAATATGTCATGTTTAATTTCATCTACATTTAATCATGATGATTGTTGTGTACTATTTTGTAAGTCTCTTTAAAAAAATTGTCTGGTATTGAGTCAAGTTCATCCGTGATTTTTTAAATTACCTATAATATTAATTTCGATAATTTCCATTAGTTTCATACAGTTTTACAGTCCATCGTTTTAAATTATTATTTTCGACTGCATAATTTGTATAAGTGTGTGTAATTTGGATGACTGCATTTAACACTATAGGGTCGATTTTGTATTGTCATATTCGCGAGATTGATGAATTTATAGTTGCGTTTTGCTTTTTAGTGAACTGGCAGCGTCTTAGAGAAGTTTACAATATTCATGTAGCCTAAATATACCAACTAAATATGTCCCATCAGATTAAATTTCTGTTTGGACTTGAATTTGCCTCTAGTCGGGAGCATAAAAATAAATTTGACTTTTAAAATCGACCCCACAAAACGATTATGGCAAATTTAACCCTAAATCAAGCGTGTGTGTGGCTCACGCAGAGACTTAGCGTTTAACATATTAAACGTTTATATATTAACAAACAAAGCAGCGGGTATGGGTTAACAACACCGGATGTTGTGTCCAGAAACGGATAACGCATGAAGGAAGTGGAAATAAAGGGCGCCCAAGAAATAAAGTATGCAGTCCGTATTCAAATACCGCCGATTGCGTCTCAATGTGTTGAATGCGTTTTGGTAAATCCGATTAATACTGTAGTGCATTTTACTAATAATTATTGTTCTTTTGTTTTGATGACCTCCGTGGCCGAGTGGTTTCTACGCCGGGTTTCATGGTGTCGCCGACTCGAGAGATCCCGAGTTCGAATCTCGGTGGGGGCAGAAATTTGTGTGATGAATACGAGCATTTGTACTCCAGTCATGGATGTTTAATATGTATTTCTACATAAATATACTTATATATGTACAGTATATGTATTCTATCCGTTACCCTAGCATCCTAAACACAAGCCTTACAGTGCTTACTTTGGGGCTAGGCTAATTTTTTGTGAGTGTTGGAAATATTTATATATATTTATTAAATATTTTATGTGAAACCATTTCATCACTT